TTTTTTTTTTTTTTTTTTTTTTTTTTTTGTTTTAAGATATTTGCCAAGCGATCGTGACTGGGCGGTGTTCGAACGGATCGACAAAACCGAATTGAGTGCTGCGAAATATCCACATTTATCGCGTTGGTTAAATCATATAAGTGTACTCAAAACAATGTAATAGTTTAAACTTTTTTTTGAATTTTTTATTTGCTAAAATAATTTGCAACTAAACAGTGTAATAGTTTAACTTTTTGAATTTTTTTGATTTTTTTTTTTGAATTTTTAGACTGCTAAAGTAATTATGTAGCATTTTCTACTACTGTTAATGTAAGCCGTTTGTAGCATCCATGTTGATAGGTGCCAAAGTGAGGGAAGCTTATGTAAAAAGGAAAAAATAGTAGGAGAGAAATAGAAGGAAAAACAGTTGAAATAAGACGTTTCGGTCCATTAAGTCATATAAAATAGCGCAGCCAGAATTTTTCCCCATTAAAATTCTCATGAATTGGAGGCTTTTTTGACGGGTTTTTCGAAGGCTTTTTTTCCTCCTGTCTAAATTATGACTTCACTACTGTCTTGTAATGGTGATGCTTCTTCGAGGATTCCGGCTGCTAGCTCTAGATGGAAGTATGTGAAGTTCTTCATCAAAGATCCAGTGACGGGGGTTTTTTTGAGCATTTTTTGAACTTTTATTTTTTCGCAGCACTTCGTCATTGAACAGTGAAAAGGAAGAAGCAACGTCTGGCTTGAACAAGATGCCACCATCATCAGGTACTGCTGAAAATGGTGATGCTAATTTACCACAGAATTTGCTGTATTATCTGGAGAAGCATGGCCAGTTCGATACGCTGGAATGCGCAACGAGCATCGGTGAGGATCATCAGAAAATCGTTGGTGCTGTAAAAAGCCTGCAAACCACCGAAGGGGTTTGATTTTTATACGTTTTTGCAAATTACACATTAAGATAAAATTAACTTTGTTTGTCTGTATGTTTTTACAAGTTACATGTATTTATGGGTGTGCACAGAGTTTGTCTCTTTTTGCATATGTGTGTGTGTGGGGAATTGTATGTATGTGTGTGTTGTGCGTATGCAGATTTTCGGCATGTGTATATGTTGTGTATGCAGGTGCACACCTATGTTTTTTGTGTCTGTTGCAAGTAATTCGGCTTCAACTGCAAATCGGCAAAAATTAGGGGGTAGAAATTTCGAAAGCAGACTATAGCAGCTACGAAATCCTTAATGATATTAGGTTCCTCATATTTTGGAAAACAATTTTTCTACTAATAAGTTCACTGTCTTCTATCAGCTATTGTTTTCTGAACGAATTCCGCTGGCCAAGGGATTCGCTGTCTCATTACGCCCATTTCTATATTTGTGGTTTTGATTTCTACATATTCCACTCTACAGGGCTGTTCAATATGCCATACGGTTTGAACCACATTAACAACCTTACTGTCTTTCCCATCACAATTCATTACCTAATTCCGTTTCCCCCCTTCACCCTCTCCAGCCCTTCACATTAAAATTTAGGGATTTCGGCCGTTCGGTATTTTCCACGGTTTGGACTGCCATTGCTTCAGAAACTATAGTTCGGCCTACCATCGACCAAAAAATTTTTGGTCAGTTTAACCCTGTTCGGCCGCCTCATTTGGACCCTCCGTTTCTTATTCGGCTTTCTAATGGCCCTTACAATTCAGTACTTTCTCGGTCTTGCTCCGTGATTGAGAGGCATTTCAAAAATGGAGGATTTTGGTTCATCAAAAGGCTTTCTGGAATGTTTTGCGCTTTCACTATTCACAGTTTAAGCTGGTAGAAACAGAAGAACGCACGTCAAAAAGTTTGGAATTAACTGCAGAAGGTCGTGAAATGGCTGAAAACGGCTCGCATGAGGCGAAAGTTTTTCGAATCGTTGGGCCAGAAGGAGCAGCACAGACCGAAATAATGGTTCTTTTGCAAGATTTGTCTATAATTCATCTAGTTTTGCAAAAGAAATTTTTTTGCTTTCGCTAAGTTTTCTACGAAGCTGGAGGAAAACGAGAGGAGGGTTCTCTGTCCCCTCTACCGACTTTTATCATTTTCTTGCTGTTATTCAAAATTTTTTGGTGCGGTATTTGGGTTTTTTTTTATAATTTGATTTTTTCTGTGTGATTCCAATACCAGGTTACTAGGCTGTCCCACACAGCGATTGAAAATTCATCCCCTGTTGAAACACTAATTTTTCTGCTGCAGAAATTGCCATTTGGGAAAGTGGGGATAAGTAAAGCAATTGCGTCTGGATGGATTGCTGTTGATAAATCAGGTGGCATTGTTCGTTTAATCCGAAAAACTGACGAAATCGACGATAAAGTACAGAGGGAACTACGCGTGATCGCCGACAAAAACACGCAAAGTGCTGATGTGAAAGTTGTGCAGGAATTAAAGAAACGAAAATTAATAACAGAAATGTGAGTTTAATGAATTCCGTGCCTCACGAATAATTGGGCTTTTTGCGCTATGATTTCCCGCACTCATGTAATCTTTCAATTTCTTTGCTAAATTATAATTTTTCCCCCTTTATTGGTAGGAAATTTTTACGATTTTGGTATGTGGAAATTTCATCGTGCAAAAAAAATAATGTTATTTATCGAAATTTTAAATTTCGGAAGACGGCTCTAAAAGATTGATCATGTTAGCTTTAACATTATGGAACCAAAACAACACCTTCGAATAATGGGCATTTTGCGCTATGATTTCCCGCACTAATATAATCTTCGAATTTCTTTGCTAAGTTTTACTAGTAAGAAATTTTTGCGATTTTATCACGAGAAAATATCGATCTGCAAGAAAATAACGTTATCGAAAATTTAAATTTCGGGAGGTGGTCCTGAAGAATTGGTCATGTTAGCAGTAAGATTATGAAATCAACTTTGTTTTTTTTCGATGCCAAAATCAATACAAAACGAGGCGGTATTTGTTGGTACCAAGATTATAAAAAAAGTGCAACAGCAATCCCAATTGTTATTTTTTTGCAGAAGCATCAAAAGTTATTTGGTTCGAAAAGGACAAGCTTTCTCAACGGTACTTAGTAAACCGGAAGTTGACCTCACAGCTGATATGATAAGCAGGTTAGCGAGAATCAAAAAATCCATTGTCGGTTCGCGTAATTCCGTTTTTTGGTTTTTCAGTTTACTTGGAAACTGATCGGTTTTTGTTAGAATTTTTTTTTGCAAAAAAACCTCATAAAAAGTTGTTGCAGCGGTTCATGGCGTACAAAAGCATTCAAGAAGTATAATTTTGACGCATTGGGTTTGATGCCAGCTGGTGGACATTTACATCCACTGATGAAAGTGAGAAGCGAATTTCGGCAAATTTTCTTTCAAATGGGTTTCGTTGAAATGCCTACGAATCGGTAAGAAATTATTTTAAACGTTTATTTTTTTAAGTGAAAATAACTGTTTCTTGTCGGATGATTGTTTCCCTACATCCTTCTTTTGGGTCGACAGTGTTTTTATATTCTTGCCACACTGGTTGTCTTACCGAAATAGCTGTTAGCTAATGATATAATAGTTCAGTAGTCTTTTTTTTTCTACTAAGTTGCACCAAATTGGATAAGTGATAAAAACTTGGTACAGACGCACACACACACACACACACACACACACACACACACACACACACA